TGAGGCAGGAGGATTGCTGTGAGTGTGAAGCCAGCCTGGGCTACAAAGTGAGTTGAAGGCCAGCCTGAACAGAGCAAGACCTGGTCTCAAAAAAAAAAAAAAAAATCTATATATCTATATCTGTATACCTATAAATTGTGCTAAATGATGATAGTTGTTTGACTATTTTAACAGTAAGGCTTAGATAGTGGAACTTTCTAAAAACTTGTTTTTGGCCAGCCATGGTGGTGCACGATTGTAATCCCAGCACTCAGGAGGGTGAGGCAGGAGGATCACTGTGAGCTTGAGGACAGGCTGGGCTACAATAGTGAGTTCAAGGCCAGCCTGAACTACATAATGAGATCCTGTCTCAAAAAAATTAATAAATAAAAATTAAAAACTTGTTTTTTTTCTGGTTAGAGTGATAAAAGGACTTTTGTCAGGTGATAGCTTAGTCTTCAGGATGGAAGTCCGACAAGTAACATGTGACAGGAATTCTTTCACTAGTTGTGTTCAGCTCTGAAGAGTAAATGCAAGCAAATTCATGTATCATCAAAAATTCCATCATTTTAATAAGGGTGATGGAACATTAGCTTATTCTACTGAATCTCCCTTAGAGATCTGGACAAGGGAGCCCTTTATCAATATGAGTGCCAGGAGTGGTCCTGTGATTGAAAAGGCTTTGTTTTTATTACTTTGAAGATCCCTGCAGTATGAGGATTAAGTTGATGGGGGTATCTTGCACTTGATCTCAGCTAAAAGGCCAAGAAGCAATTGATGGTAGTATCTTAAAAAAGAGAAGATTACTGCACAGAGGAATGACTTAAGAGTAAACTAAAATGGGAGAAACATATTTTGTAACTTTCTGGTTCTCCATCATCTTTGATATGTGGTTAATTTTCATGATAGTCTCTTTAAAAGAACAAAACCTTTGCAACCAGTCTCATGCTGCTTTTTTTTGTTCCTTTGTTTCTCTTTTTCTTTGTATATTTCTTGAGGATCTTGCTGTGTAGTCCAAACTTGAGTGCTGAGATTACAGGCGGGCACCACTGCACCCAGTGCTTATTTTCTTTTTAAAATGAATAACTAGAGTTGGTTGGAAATTCTCTTTGAGTCCTAGTGACTCAGTTGGAACTATCCATGAGCCTTGTCTCTTGCTGTCTAGACACTAGTTCACGTCTGCACGTGGCTGCAAGTGCTGGTGAATGTTGACAGTGGATTGGTCATTGTGTTTTTGTTAAGGTAGTTGTCTTAGTTACTTTTCTCTTGTTGTTAAGATAAAATAGCTGACACCCAAAGTTCAAGGAGGAAAGGTTTATTTAGCTCACAGTTTGTAGAGGTTTCAGTCTATAATCTGCTGGTTCCAAGGCAAACTGGCAGGACAGAGGAGCATCACAGAGGAGAAACAGTTTGTGGCAGGCAGAGGCAAAAAGCAAGTGACAGTTGAGAGACCTTAGCCCTCTTTGTGTCCTTTATATTTTACCCAGGGTGGGTAGCACTCACACCCTTAATCCTACCATTGCACCGTGAATCAGTCCCAGCGTCACACTCTAGATCCAGCCACCCCTGAAAAGCCTCCTATGAGTGCGTGAGGCTTTAAAGGGGACATCGAAATACAAGCCAAAGCAGTAATTTATAGTCTTCTTACATTAATGCTTCTAGAGACCATTTTATGGTGAGATTAGTGGGTAGTATCAATTTTGTGAAACCACTTTTCTCTTTTGTTTCTTTGATACTTCATAATATATTGTATTTAGTAAGGTATTTGCCTAACAAGTATGGATTTAACTCAGATCTCATATTTTACCTACCTAATTTACAAAGGAATGGGATTCGATAGTAAAATAAATTTGAAATTCAAAAGAAAAATTCACTATTGGACATGTTAGTATGTTTTCTTGAAAATACTTACTTTAAAGTAAGGCACATTCAGAAAAACTTGTCTTTCCTAAACAAAGTCCTGTTTTGAAATACATTCATGGGCTTTTAAAATTGCCTTCTGTTTTGACAGTTTCTTGCCTTGCTAGTTTGTTCTAGTTTAAGGTTTGAATGGGCAGAACTTATTTCAGATCTGAATAAGTCAGGTTCTCTGCTAGTATAACCCCATTTCTGTTAATAATTCAGGACAGAAAGGTCTGAATGTTACTGCTTTCCTCTTTGAGGCACAAAATCACTTTTGTCTAAGTATACAATCCTATAAGTTACTGACCTGTATTTTCTCTTGGTCTTAAGTTTCCTTTCTTCCTCCTTCCCTGCCTTCCTTCCTCCCTCCCTCCCTCCCTCCCTGTCTTCCTCCTTCCTGCTCATCCCTCCTAGTACTGGGAACACACCTCTACCAGCCCCTTAGGTTAATTTTTAATGTTGAATTATGTTTTAGCTCACAAAACTGACATTTTAAGGGGGACATGAGAAATTTAGTGTTGTAGTGTAAATATACAGTTGCTTCTTGGAAAATGTGCACCATCTTTGGCACTTGACTAATTGTACATCTTACCAGCAGAGTGATGCAGAAAAATGAATACTGACTAGGAGTCAGGAGCCCTGAGTTCTAGGCTGAGTAATATGTTGTAGGGTACTTTGTGAGGTGGGTTTTTTTTTGAGGCTTGATCTCGCCATGTAGTTCAGGCTGACCCTGAACTCTCTATGTAGCCTAGGCTGACCTTGAACTTGAAACAACAACAAAATCCTCCTAGCTCAGCCTCCAGAGTTTTGGGATTACAGATGTGTTCCACCATGGTCGGGTTGTTTTGTGAGTTATAAAGAAGATGCTAGGGGCTGGGGATTTAGCTCAGCGGCAAAGTGACTGCCTGGCAGGTGCAAGGTCGTGAGTTCGGTTCCCGGTACCGGAGAAAAACCAAAAAAAAAAAAGAAGATGCTAAATTTAAAAACAGAGGACATTAAAAATGTAAAGTACTGCCAGATATGGTGGTGCACACCTGTAATCCCAGCACTTGGGAGGCTCAGGTAGGAGGATCTCTTTGAGTTTGAGGTCATCCTGGGCTATGTAGTAGGTTTAAGGTCAACCTGAACTACA